TGGAGTTGGTATCATTGTAAATATAAAGTTGGGGAAAATCCCAGAATGCTTCTCATTGTTAAAAAAAAAAATACAAAGACTATTTTATAGTAACCATGGTAGGTTAAATTAATTCCACATAGGTGGATCACAAATTGTAAATATTGATAATGAAAGAAAATGAAGAGACTAGTTCCTTATGCCATCTCATGCCTATCCTGACTGAAAAAAACTGATTCAACATGTAAACATTTTTGTACATCTTACGTAAAATAAGGAAGCATGTTTGGATAAGTATATAAGCACACATAACTTAGCACACATATGTTTCTCTATCACTTTTGCTTTTGTAGGATGAGTAGGTGGACAAAATTATATTCAACAGAAGATTTGTATCTAGAATAAATTAAACAACTTCTGTACATGAGTAAGACAGAACACCCCAATAAAATATAAAATGGCAGGGTAGGGGGACCACAACAACCCTGAATTCTGTTTGTAAATACCTGAATGGAACAAGCATTCTCTTAAATGAGGATATAAAACAGCCAGTGACCATGTTGGTATCAGAGACATGCACATTGAAGCCATAATGAGATCTCACCATATATTCAGCAAAATGGTTAAAACTAAAAAAGGCTGTTCATACCAGATGTTGGCACTGTTGATAGCACATAATGGTGGTAGGTAAGACAGGCAACTTTTGATGTATGAAATGCTAAGCACAAGAACTAAAAGTGATATGCTAAGGATGGGGCTTCAGATGCATAAAGCAAGAGCTGGTTTCCCGAGAACAATGCCAATTGTATTGCTGAGCCTCTAAACAAACAGGAGCTCTCACCTACCTCTGTTTTAAGAAAAACAAATAGATCAATAGATAGGAAAATAAACTTCAGCTTAAAGTTATGTTGGGCTTGGCTTTCTGTGATTAGCAGTGGAATACATTCTTCATTTATCAGAGATTCAGTGATAATGGAATGGTCTTGATCTCTTCTTTCTTGTGCTAGCTTCAGAATTCTGTATTCTTTTTTTCTTTTCTTGATACTGGAAATTGAACCTGCAACCTTCTTTTTCTTTTTTAAAATTTTATTTAAAGACTAAACAAAACAGAAAATAGGTAGAAATAATACATAATTTCAAAGAAAAAATTAACAGTAAGAAATCACTAGTTGATAATTACAGATTGTCTTCTTACAAAGAGTTATTCAAGATACCAAAGTGGAGCTTATAAATTGGGGATTCAAACAGTGAGATTGCAACCAGTTCTGTTCAACTATCCAACAAAAACTTAGAAATATGGTTATCAATCCTATACACTTAAACATACATGCAGTTATCCATCTCTTCAATTATGTTGAGATTGAATAAACCCAAGCAGGTGAATATCACTTTGAACAAAGAATATTACTATTGCTGGGTTTCACATTATAACACTCCAGGATCAGCACTGGGTATTTTAGTGTCTCTTTTTCTTTAGAGTATCTGTTCATTTCATCATGTGTCATATGATCAGTTCTCATTAATTGTTTATAGATTCTACACATACATGAGTCTTAACATGTATTTCTATTCTTTCTATATTAGAAGGAGGAACAAAACAAAGCAAGGCAAAAGAAAACATATTTCTATAAACACATGAAATGAAATAAACATATAAGACTGTTGTACAAATTGTTCTACCATAGTTCCTGTGTTATCTCCAATAGAATTGGCTATATCATCAGACATAGTATAATTGAATATGTCAGTACATAGCAGTATTAATAAAAACACAACTTTGTATATAGTACAGAACATCAAAAACTGTCATTTATCAAACCAGAATGTGTATCGTTGAGTCTTCAGTGTAGTTGCCTATACTCTATATCAATCATATCAGTTTTAAATACTATACTATATCAATTATATCAGTTTTAAATAAAATCTTCTCTGCCTCATTTCTGTTATGCTCTTTTTTTTTTTTTTGCCATCAGGTGTCTGCTTATCTTCTTCATTCTGTTTTCTGTTCCATTCACTGAGGCCTCTCTGCCACTGTTCCTGGAATCCTAGTACTTTTCTCTCTCTCTAGAAATGCCCTGCAGTATTCTCTATAGAGTTGAATTGGTGGTTGCAAATTTCCCAAGTTCCTCTTTGTCTTGGAAGCATCTTGTTTCTCCATTAATTTCTAGAGACAGTTTAGCAGGGTATATCAATCTGGGATGCAGGTTATTTTCTTTCAGGGCTTGGAATATTTCGCTCCTGTCTCTTCTTGACTTGATGGTTTGTGTCGAGAAGTCTGCTGTTATTCTGATGGGCCTTCTTCTGTAGGTTATCTGTTTTTTGTCTCTAACAGCTTTTAATATTCTGTTCTTATATTGAATTTCTGGGATCTTGATTATTATATGCCTGGGTATAGCTCTGTTTTGGTTGTAGGTGGCTGGAATTCTGTATGTCTCATATATCAGAATATCATTTCCTTTTCCTATGTTTGGGGAATTTTCCTTAATTATTTCTGTGAATAACCTTTGTAGTTCCTTTGTTTGTATATCAGCTTCTTCATTTATATTCTTTATTCTCAAGTTATAGATCCTTTTGTCATCTTCTAGCCTTTGTATTGTTACTGCTTGTTTCCTTGTTATTTTAAAAAAAATTTCCCTTTCATATTCCCACATTGCAAAATTGTTCTCCAGTTTGGATAATCTATCCTTAGTTTCTTTCAAGCAGTTTTGCTATCTTTCCACAGAGTTTTTAATTTCCTGGCGATCTCTTTGAATCTGATTCATGTATTCTATATATTTTTTTATATTCTTCACCAAATGGTTCTCTCCTGTGTTTGAGTTCCTCCCTTCCTCCGTCTGTGTCTGCTTGAGGGGTGCTTAGTATCTCTTTTATTAATCTTCTTATATCTTGTTTTATTTGGCTAAATATCTCACTTTTGAATTTGTCTATGAGGTCCAGAAAATATCTCTTTATGTCCACTGGCACTATGTCTGATATTGCATGTTTGCTGTTCTCATTCTCCTTTGTATTTACCTGTCCTGGGTCAATGTTCTCAGGGTTGGGGCCTGGGGACCTTTTGTTGTTGCTGCTTCTTCCCATCTTTTTTTGCTTCTTTTAGGAGGCCCCAGTTTCTTTCTTTGTTGGTTACAATTCTTCTGAAGTGTGCTGGCTTGATGACCCTTCACAATGCAGTGTGTTAGTGAGTTGCAGACAGGGACAGTGTATGCTGGTCCCTCCCCTCCAGATTAGTTAAGCTGCTGTGACCTGCACTACTGTATTACTTTGCACTACCTGCTTCTGACCAGCCAAACCTCAGAGGCCCCACTGGGCCAGTGTCATTAGTGTGCGACACCACTGCAAGGACTTGACCTTGGATAACCTATTAGGTCTTAGCCAGGTCACATGACCCAGATCTAGCTCATTCCACCAATCCTGTTCAGGAAGGGAACAATTGACTGAAGTCACTGCTGCCCATTTTACTTGCCAGTCCTACCTGATCCCAGAATGTCGTTTGCTGGGGCCCCCCTATTTATAGAATGGCTCCACTCCTATCACTCACCACAGGTAGATGTAGGCTCCCTGCCAACTCAGCTCTCCATTTGGCTGGTTGACCCCTGAACTCAATGTAACTGCACCTCCAGTGAGTCAAAGCAGCGGGACCTCAGACGACTTCACAAGTCACAGCAGGACCTTGGCAAGTTGCAGCAGGACCCGGGCAAGTTGTGGTGGGACCTCAACCAGTCAAGGTGGGACCCCAGCCAGTCACAACTGGACCCTGGCCAGTCACGGTGGGGCCTCGGCAAGTGGCAGCAGGAACTTGGCGGGACTTCAAATGGTCAGCAAGTTGCCTTAATTTCTACTTGGGACAAGAGAATTCATCTCCCTCTGTTTGGGGCTCCCTACTCTGTATTATGTTAAATTCTAAGTTGACTATCTCAGGGAGCTTCTGTAGCCAGTTGTTATCTGCCATCTTTGCTCCTCCCCCCGAACCCACAACCTTCTTACTGAGCTACATCTATAGATCTTTTTATTTTATGAGACAGGATCTCCTTATGTCACTAAGTTACACAAGTTGGGTTCAGATTTGCAATTCTTCTGCCTCAGTTTCCCAGAATGCTGAGATTATAAGTGTGCCCTACCATACCTGGCTCCTTTCAAATTTTGAAGCATTATTTCTACAGTTAATTGAGCATCCTTAGCTCAACTCTTTTTTAGACTTGACTTGGGAATGGCAATTTAAATTGAAGCCCATGATCATGTATTTCCCTCCTTAATTATTTACAGTATATGCAGATTTTCTGGATAGTTCATTTTATTGTGGGAAGGTTAGGAACCAAGGAAAATGGAAAAATATTTTTTAAAAGGTAAAACAGCTAATCTATATCAGGTAGAAATGAGTGCTATTAATTTTGAGTTATGTATATATATATATATATATATATATATATATATATTCATCATAATTTCTCAATAAAAGCACACAAAGCTTATATGCCCTGAATGCATCTCACCATGGATTTCTCAGGGCTGACCATTGTGAAATGTGTCTTTGGAAGTGGTTGGCGCTCACACATATCACCATGGTCTAGATTTTCACCATGTGATGTTCAGCAGGTGTCTTAAATTCTTTAAGTCTCAGTTTCCTCATCTCCTGGGTATAATGCAGCAGAGTAACCTTGGCTACTCCTTGAGGAGGGCTGGGGGCAATAAATGGGCATGAAAAGCTTTTAAAATAATATTTGGCATAGGTAAGTGTGGCATAGCAGAAAATACCAGAAAGTCAGCATTTGTTGAATGAACTCCATCCGTATCAGCAAGTCCATTGGTAAAGCAGAAGTAAGTGGATAGAGGAAGAGACAATGGTGTTTTGGGGATTTTGTGGAGGGCAAACTGAAGCTCCTTCCTTAAGTCTGCAGATTCAAATATATGCCTTTTTTATGGTTTGTGTCTTAATGTCCTCCCAAAGTATCACAAAGTCATGAGGGGTGGTGGGCATTTTGAAGGTGGCTGAATCTAACATTTGTGACTGGTTCATTGTCTAGAGATGCACCTGCTCTGGGACATAAGGGAGGTAACGTGGCTTGCTCATCCCTTTATCCCTTTTGCTCTGGTCACTTCTGGTATCTGCTGTAACTGCCACGAACAGCTGTCCCTCAGCCATGCCACCCTGCATTGGAGTCAGGTAAGTATAGACTGAGACCGGCACAGATTGTAAGCTAAATAAAATGTTCCTTTCTTAACTTTTGGGGTCTGGCATTTTGTCCTAGCAATGAGAGAAATGTAAGTAAGGTGCCTTTCTTTTACTGTGGTATATAATCCAGAGAGTTTGAGAAGTATGTTTGCATGTGTATGCCTGTGCATGAAAAGGCTGTAAAATGGTCATGGAAATACTGAAAAGTGTCATTACTTTCACCTGCTTTGATTGAAGCCGTGATCAAAGTCTTATAATGAGAAGTCACGTTAACAAAAGAGACCTGTGTGTCCTCAGTACAGCCTGCTGACGAGGGAGATGTTACCTCAGGTCCACTCACCTCAGATCCAGCTGTCATTGTCCCCCAGGAGCACATCGATGGCCCTGGAAACTATTGACCAGCTGACCATATCAAGCATATTAAGATTTATCATGTCTTAGAGTAAAAATTGACCCCAATTTAACCTCTATTAATATTTATTTCTCAGGTCAATAAATCTAGAATTTATCTTAGTAAAAGTCAATATCAGTTGAATTCCACCTATTCTTATTAGGGGGTAAAAAAGAAAAGCAGAATATGAATTGAAAGCATTATAAATAAAACAATAAAGTCACATATACAATCTCCAAAGGGTAGCAGGGAGGGCACCAAATTTTAGGCACTTCTGATTTTGATACAAGTAGGGAAAAGATATTCAACCTCAACATACTTTGTCCTGATTCCCCAATTAATGTCTTCAGTAGGAGAGCCTCCAGCCAAGAAGGAAGAGGCACAGGACCCATGTTTCAGGCTCAGGCGTGCTTGAATCCACTATTTCACTCCCCTGAGACTCTGTTTCTAAATTTTGAGAGAAAACAAACAAACGAACAAATAAACCAGGTACAGTATTTCTACTTGCGTTGCTTTGTTCATTATGTATTCTACCCAAGACTTTGACTCTGTTATAACAGATAGTCATCTTTCCTTCGTGTGCATTTTTCTGGCCTCACTATAAAAAGTAAAATAATTTTACTGAATTTTAATGGAAACAGAAAATGGTATTTTAATTAATGATTGATACACAAAGCCAGAAAATTCTACCCCATCTTTCCTTCATGCAACATGGTACCCTGTAAATGCTTTGTGTGGAAAGGGCAGCTAGATTTCAACCACTATATGTTTGATGCATTAGCTGTCAAACCTCTCACTGACCTGTAAAATCCCGCCTAACTTTCATCACTTACCTCTTATTTTTCTTGTCTCTTGGCGAGTGAATTTAGTACCCTTGTGTCTTAGTCCATTTTGTATTGCTATAACATAATACCAGGTGGTGAGCAATGCAGAAAATAAAGAGGTTTATTTGGTTTGAGATTCTGGTGGCTAAAAATTCCAAACAACAGAGTTCCAGCATCAGACAAGAATCCCTGGTAGGTACTAGGAGGGAGAGACAGAAAGAAAAAGAGAAGCATAGCCAGATAGAAAGCTAGAGACCAGAGAGAAACTGGTCTTGCTCTTTTGTAACAATCTGCTTTTCTGGGAACTAAGCCAGATAGACCTACATTAGTTCCTTTAGCAAATGGCATCCTCATCACCTAATTAGCTCCTTCAAAAGTCCCACTTTGATACCATCACATTGAGGAATTAAGTGCCAACATGATTTTGGTGGCAACAAACTATTCAAACCACAGCACCCTGGGACCACCCTTCCATTGCAGTGTTTTCTGTTAACACTTTCTTTGATATCTATTTCTTACCCAGTATATTGCCTCAGAGACTTTGTAAAAACGAGGGAAATACTATCAGCCTCTATAGAACAGTTCTAAAGAGTTACATAAGATGTATTGTAGAATGCTTAGCTTAACAATAGTTGGCATATAGTACAAGCTCAGTAAATGCAAATCATTATTATTGTTTTTGTTTATCTGCTCCCTTTGCAGGGCTCAATATATATTTGTGGGATAAATGACCCAAAACATGATGCTAGTGGTCAGAGACAACAGCTGTCTAAGGGAGCTGCAGAGGAAGATGCTTTAGATCTCCAGCGGGGAGAGCTGCTGTTTTGTTTCCATAAGGCTAAAAAGTATCTTGTTTTATTGCTGGAAAAGAAGTCTACTTTTCACCTTGCGGGCTTCTCTTCTCTCATAGTACTCTCTTGATCTATGAGAATACTCACTTAATGGATCCAAAGGTGCTAAAGATAGTTTGCATATTGTTCATACTCAAGAATGTGCTTTGTGGAAGGAATTCCAGTCAACTCATCTGTTACTGCCTCTTAAAAAACTCTGTCAGTATCCACCCTCTTCATTTCAAAAAGTAAATCTTCTGCTATTTTTGTTTTCATCATGTGACACAATCATACATTAACTTAGGGTATTCATTGGTTCTGCTACATGGGAGCAGGTACCAGAGGAGCAAAGGCCAGGGCACCATGGCCATTGAGTTCCAAGGTACTGGCTTCCTGCTGTGTGTGCTTGGTCCCTCACCATCCCCTGCTGGGAACCTGCTGATGATCCTAGCAGATGATAGCCATTGAGTGAATATACTCAGGGTTACCCAGCAGCTGTAGCAAAAGGGACATGAAATAGACATAGTGCCTGATGCCTTGTGAAAGAAACCCATGGTACACCTTGAAGAGGTACCCCATGCCATGCCAGAAGGAGGATGTGGAAGCCAGTCTTGCTGAACTTGGTGTAATGCTTTTGAGAATGACTTTTGTGTGTGTGTGTGTGCCAGAGATTGAACTCACGACCTTGCACTTGCCAGGCAGACACTTAAGCCACTGAGTTAAATCCCCAGTAAATGACCCTTTCTTGAAGCATGCGATCAGAACATGGAAGTGAAAAAGGACTCTGCTTTGCTTCTTACTGGCTGCTCCTGTCTCCTGCACATAAGGAACTAATGCCCTCCCCAGCAGAAAGCAGCTTTGATGTTGTGTTACGGACCCTTTCCTCCCTTGCACTGATGCTTAGCCCAGTATCTGGCTCTATCTACTATCTTCCTCTTGAATTCATTGCCATGTAACCTGCACTTTGAAACCACTCAGTGCCTCAATGAACTGTTCGTGGCCATGTGCCTAGGTTTATGTCCTTGAGCAATAAGATTCACTATGATGCCCATTCTGGTTTGACTATTAGTTTGACTATTATCTTCTTTTGAAGTCCTATAATGTCTCCAGTGTTTATGTTTTATTGGTTTTGTTCTGTACTGTTTTGTTCAAATTTATTATATCTGATGATATAGGCAATTCTTTTTAAGGTAGCAAGAGGCATTATGGTAACCATTGTTGATTACCTTGTATTCTGTTTTTACATCATGTACTATGTTCATCCTTTGTTTTGACTGACTCTGCTTTGTTTTGTCACATTTGGTTTTATTCTCTTCCAAAAGAAAAGTAATAAGAACTGTGGGAGCAATAAAACCCAAAATGTGTAATTGTTATTGTAAAAAAGAGGAAAAGAAAGTGCTCTAAAAGATGTAACTATAAGTGTGTTTATGTGTGTAAGATAGATGACCATATTACTAAATTTTTGTTGGATCATTGAACACAACTGTTTGCAGTCTCAGTTTTTGAATGTCCACTTTGTATGCTTTAATTTTGTAACTTGAACAACTATTTCTAAGATGACAATATGTAATCTATTAACTAGTGATTTCTTACTGTTTATTTTTTCTTGAAATTCTGTATTATTTGTACCCTTTTACTGTTTTTTTTCTTTCTTTAAATAAAAGTTTAAGAAAAGTTTATGTCCTTGAGCTCAGATCACATGACCTTCACTGCAGCTTGTGAAGAATGTCTTCATTGTCTTGATGGATAGCTTTATGTGTAATGTGGCTTATTCCCTCTCATTGTGGTTGCTTGCTTCACAACTCCTCCAGAGAGACGTGACTGTCCAGGATCTTCTGAGCTCTGCATCTGTCTGTCTGTGTGGAAGTGACTTTGTGAGGAAATACCCCAAGCCCATCATGTCCAATATGGTTCTTGGTGGAATCAACTGCCTTCACAGAAAACAAATTTCCTAGGAAATTTGAAGCCTATCTTAATGGTTCTAGAATTATGGTTTTCTTTTTTGGTTCTATGGTTTCAGAGATTCCAGAGATGGAAGCTATGATCATAGCTGAAGGTTTGGGCAAAATACATTAAATCGTCCTATGATGTTACACTGGAATTTCGCCATCAAATCTCACAAAGAATACAATCCTTGGTCAAATGGTTACCCCAAAATGATCTGTTTCATCATCCAAAGACCCAAGTGTTTATCATACATACTTTCACCCATGTTTTTATGAAGGGTTATGCAAGGGCACCTCTCTGGTCATGATGCCTTTGTTTGGTGATCAAATAAATGTACAATGAAAAGCACATGGAGACTGAGGGACCCTTGAATACATTCATGTAACCCTGAATGTATTTGAAATGACTTCTGATGATTTAGCAAATGCTCTAAAATGTCTTCGATAACAAAAGCTGTCAGGAGAAGATCACGCACCACTTCAGCCTTCATAAGGACCCTCTGTCCCAGGGAACCAAGAGACCTGGCTGTCTTCTGGGTGGAGTTCATGATCAGGCACAAGGGGGCGCCACACCTGTGCCTTGCAGTCCAGGACCTCACCGGGTACCAGTACCACTCCTTGGATGTAATCTGCTTCCTCCTGCCCAAGGTGCAGTTAGTGGCCTTCATAGCCCTTTAAATGTTATGCCCGTGCTTCTGGAAACGCTTTGAGATAAAGGGGCATGTTAAGAAAACCCACAAACCCAAGGATCATTGAGAAGCTGGTGGGAAACAAGGAAAACTTTTGCTTAATTATCTTTAATCAGTTGCAAACTTGAACACAGTCAGTGTTCAATTCCTTTTATTCTATTTAAAGAAATCTTCACCAAAAGTTAGATGTTTGAAGTGTTTATTAAAAAATAGCAATGACTTAGCCACCCCAACAGGAAAACAAATTTAATATGGATTCTGCTTTGCCAATATGTTTAGTATGTCTACACTTGTCAAATGACTGTCAGAGGATATGGTACTTGGCATCATTATTCTTACTTGGAAAGTGCCCTGGTTGGGAGCACAGGGTTGAAAGGTGGTCCTGCAGTTCTTCTAGCTTTGATGCTGATGTTAAGGTCATAGTCTGATTTTTTTGGTCCCCTGTTGTCAGTCCCACAGTAGTGATGGTTGATCTCACTTATGGTCTAGATTTCTAGGTGTCTCTCTTGTATGTTTAAAGAAGAAAACCTTTGTACCTTGAAAGTTACTTGATATGAATGAATGTCGTGGAGTTCTTGAAAATAATATGATTTTTGACTTTGAGGGGAGAATTTTCTGTGAAATAAATGGATAATGTATTTGAGATGACAATAATTGAACTTGAAGAAAGCCTAACTTTACTGGTGGAGAAGTGTGTTTTTTTTTTATGTTTACCATAACTAAAAGTTTATTAATAAATTCACATAAATTATTAAAAAAGGAATTGTGACTTTCAAGACCATTTTATGAAGGCACAAAATCAGGAATTTAACCAGGCTAGCACAGACAGTCCTTACCACTCTCCTCTCTTATCTCCTCTCATGCTTCTGGATACACACATACCATAGGGTAAATATTATTCTAGCAAGATCCAGAAATGGAGAGTTTTGATGGAATCCTGCATTACATGTGACAGAATCCAAAATCTTTCTCATCAAGATTGAAGAAAAACAAATTATGTTTTGCTATTTGCATTTGTTTGTTGCCTTTCTTGCTATTTGTGAAATTGAGTAAAGTTAATTTGACAGACATCTATTCATCTTCCGTAATAAAATTGCAAAGAATGGTGTGAATTTCTTCCTTTAGGCATCTGGGAGCATCATTTTCTAAATGTTTGGGTTTTTTTAATCACCTAAAATGTTTATCTGCCCTGAGG